CTTGTTATCTACGTTTTCCGAGCCAACGTCGAGGAAACGAACGGAAAATAGAAAATAATGTTGAAATATTCCTTACAAAGGCGAATTGTATTATAACGGAGAAGGTAGAGAGAACGCTTATATGAGTTTCGCAAATGGCGAATGTAACTTCATTTAAGGCATGTATGAAAACTTCATGCATAACTTACCGTATTTTTCTGTGTAAAACGCGGGGTCGCGCCGACTACTCCCCTTTCGACGCGCTTTTTACCCGCAAATATTTGGTTGACCGACTGCAGGAGCTCCTGAAATATAATTTTCCTTGAATATAGCGCAATTTCCCGTAATATACAACTTCGGCGAAAATGTATTTATTTAAATTTTATGCAATACATCTACCCGTATACGAATTTGCGTATTTTTATTTCTAATTCCTGTAGGTAACGTTCACAATACATCCCGTCACCTTTCCCCGATTTTTTTTTAGTAAACGTTCCAGCGAATTTACCGCAAAACACGACAGCCGCAAATCCGCAAATGTTGACCTAATCCAAAAAAGGGCACCTGGCTTGTTATTTTAGGTCGCGAGCTTTGGTAGCCTTGACGATATCGCTCGGCCGAAAGCGCTGGAAAACTCCCCCTTTCTACAAGTTCGGCTCTCTAGTGCTTTACAACCCTCATTCAACCGTCCGACGAGCTGACCATTCATGATATGCTTTCCCTTTCTCTATTGTTGCACCCGGACCGGTCAGGTCACACTGTGCATGAAACGCCGATGGGAATCGGAACATTCCTCGACACTTCCAACTTCATCCCTTTATTTTTTACTACAACACGCCTTTTTTATTCACCAATAAATAAATTAATTTATAGTAGTTTTTTTATGTAAAATAAATAAATTACAATAATATAGAACGAAGAAGATTATAAAAAATCAGAACAAGCGGAAGAAGTAGGTCCAATAAATAAAGGAATTCCAATTCACAACACCAGCAGAAAGAATGCGAAAAAAGAGAATTTAAAAGAATATATATAAAAATAGTTTTTGGGGGGAAAACAATAAGAATACTAGTTGGAATTATCTATAGTTGCGACCTAACAAGATACACAATCAAACCCAATACAATATAGGATCATTTTTTCTGTGTGTTCATGTTAAGAAGAAATTAAATCAAAAGAATTCTTGGTACACCTGGAGCCGAGCGGCTATTCAGACGGTCCGTTCCGTTCCCTCCGGGCGTTCTAATTGAAAGAGTGGCCAGGTCGCGTTATAAAATTAAGAATAGAATAAATTAGAGAATACAACATTCTTGCGCGACCGGCGACAACTCTTCCTGTTTTTAGGTAAGGCCTTCGCAGTCGAAGGGGACGACAAACAATAGAAGTTTCGATCTTTATGTGATGCAGATCCGCCGTAAAACGCAGGTAAAAGAACATAGTATCCGAGCGTTGGGGAATTTATTTTTACCGGAGGCTTTTTTTTTGTTGAAGAAGCGTATCTATTCTAATTCGCTTTTATATTATGTCAAGTCGCTTTGATTGCGGCGTTTCAATTTCGATACGCATATTGATCGTTTTAATTAGCATAATTAAACGAACGGATACATTAGAAAACAATTAGCGGAACGTGATGTAATATTGCGCAAATCATTTTACGTGCTCAGATGACAGGAGTGAATAAAATTAACGTAGGTAGATACGCTAAATTAGGTGCATTTAGTTCGGAGAAAATTCGAAAATTGGTTGAACAATTATAAGATTTTTTTTTCTGTTGTGGGATCGAATGATTATCGCTAGGAGGTTCGAAACCATTATGATTTTCGTGGCGTTCTCTTAGGTGAAGCCGAGATAATATATTTCCATTATTGCTGTTTTGCTTACCTAAGCAGCGAAAATTCCTTCGGCTTTAATTTGCTCCGCGCCCATTATGCCTACTTAAAATTAGTTCGTGTTCAGAAATTCCAAAAAGAAGTAAAATCAATCGCGAACGTTCATGGGAAAAATATCTACGATATTAAAATCCAAAATGAGCAGAAAGGCTCTAATTATTGCCGTGATTAAGGCTCGGTGTGGGAATTTGTAATTACAAGTACTGCATTAACCCGACGAGTATACAACGTGATTGGTATCTGCGAGCAGGGGCGGTACTTACAGGTAAATACAATCCTAAATATTTTTACGGTACGTTTGTATTTTTAACATCCGATCATAAACGAACGGGGCAGTCCAAATTGAACATAAAACGAACCATATGCTAATTAATAGTTCCAGTTGTTTGTACTGAGGGCGCGTCAAAATGATTGACTTCCAAATAAGGCATAAGTACGTTCGCTAATATAAATTTGACTCTAAAAATGTTAAGTACCGGTACATAAATTCTCCATTAAATACATTTGTATACATTGTTTCTGTAATCCAATATAAATTACAAATTATTCGGAGTAACTAAATTAGGCGAGTGAAAGCTCCGCAACTGAATAATTGTAGGTGTAAAATGTCAAATCATTTTAAAATTGTAACAACAACCATTTTACTTAACTTCATTTATTGCCTACTTACCACACTTTAATATCTGTAGTAGATAGATCATTTTATTGATCCTATTGAAACATTAGAAAAAGTTCATAAGAAATTATAATGGAAGAATCCAAAAATAAAAATTAACAACCATTTATTGCGAATTAACAAGAATTTTTATTGTTATAATAATTGATAAATGTAATGTGGTGTAAAATTTTTCGGTTACGACCATGGGCGTAAAAGTGACTTGTTCGACTTGTCGGCGGCGCCTTACCCTCACTTATAATCAAAATTACACATAATTATAAAATTTTTTCGTCGAAATCTCCCAAATTAGTACTCTGGGCATTTGAAAAAGATTCATTTCGTATCGTGGGTCGTTTAGGTAAAAACGAATTTAATAACTGCGTATTTTTTATCGGCCCTATATAATTTTTTTAATCATCTTTTCTGAGACCCGACTTAATCGATATCTCATGATAAACATAATTATTTCCTAAATAGTAACGAAAAAAATCCTTGAGCCATTTTGACGCGGTCTGTTTGATTAATAACAGATGTGATCCAAATTACTAATAATTGCTAAAATGTAGCAGGGAATTTCTAAATGGAACCGTCTTGGTACCGTAATAATAGCTGTTAAATTATATCGGCTCGCAATCAACTTTTAATTTTTTTATTTGGATGTATCGATTTTATTCATCCATAAAATATTTCCTATTTATTTTTTAAATTTACTACGCATTAAAACCAAACCCTCATAAGTGTAGGTAATTCATAATTTCCGCATATAAAGCTTCACAAGAATACTTTTATTTGTGTAATCACATGCTGAAAGAAAATATTTCTTCGATAAAAATCGTGTGTTCCACTTTTCAACATTTTCGATTGTGTAGTGAATGCATTGCATTTAACTCGTTAATCATGATCTTTTCTTATTGTTTGAATTTCGACGTATTTTCTTCTTCGATACAAAAGAACAAATGACGTGTAACCGTGACCATCTGTGCATGCCAAATGAAAATAATTGAAAAAAGGAAGGTGAAATAATTTTTGGCGAAACTGAAATTGTAGTTGTTTGCGTTGAAGAATAAGTATAATTATTTACACCTGTCAGGGCCAATTTGTGGAAGAACTGATGCGGAGGCGTGTAAAGTTTCAATGAAACCCTTCGAAAAATGTTACAAAGTCTTGTAATTAATATTTTAATTAATTTTGTGTTTATATTTTAATGACTTTTACACCTACAGAAAATTAAAAAAATCAATATCAACGAATCAACGTACATAATTGCTTTCTAAATAAAAACTGCATGTTTCTTATACAATTTATAGTTCATTAATTTTCTTTAATTAAAAACTACTTACATTATTAATTAAGGTAATTTGAAATAATAATTAATTTTTGTTTGTAACCTTGGTCGGTTCCAATAAAATAACAATCCAAAATGTTAATCATCATAATTATGCTGTCTATTATATTAAACGTTGTAGGGTAAGTTCAATTTATCTTATTTTTTCAAAAAGTCCTGGAAACATTCTTTGAACATTCAAATTGCTTTTGGTTTTTGTAACAGCTATACGTAAGGAATTAATCAAAATATATTAATATGTATGAGTTTATTTAATAAAATATGCACGATTGGCTATTTATTATCAATATTAAATAAGGACAATGTCATGCACACGTTTAAACGGTCCTCTTTGTCAAGTAAAAAGTTTATTAAAATTTATCGGAATGATTTAGTACACTAAAAAAATGTTTTGTTTTATCCAGCACATATTTAAAACTAATTTAATTGTTTTCAAAAAGTGTAGTTTTCTCAGTATATTGACCAATTTTCAGACTGTCTGTTCTGATTTGGTTCCAATTAAATTTAATGGCATTAATAAATCTTAATTATTATAATAGATGGGGACTGATCGAAACGATTTAGAATTCCTTTGTCTAGAGGAATGAGATACATTAAATATTCCGTTCTTAGAGAGAACAACAATCTATGTAATTGATATCTTGGGGCAGTGCAATCAAGAACGATCTAGTGGTTAAATATTCAAGCTGTTGCCTATAACACGAGCTCTTTTCCCGCACAATATTGGCATCTGAATATTAAAATCAAAAATTATATTGTATGCACGCAAATAATGTAGAATTAAGCCGAGTTTACAGTATAACATCTTTGAGATTGCAAATCTGTCTGACCTCAAGCTAAAAATCAAACGATAACTGTCGATAATTCGCTCTATTATCCTTTTTTTTAAACAGTTCCTTTATTTATTGTCGATGATTATTAGAACCTTATGTGCTTGTACAGGTAAATTATAAATCATAACAGCCATTTTGTAATATCATAAATTAAACCTCGTGATGCTTATGCCTTCGAAACGATCGATCAACTCTCATTTTCATCGGTCAACGAACACTATGTAGTCCCATCAAAAACAATTTACCAGCGTAGTTATGCGTGAATGTTGTTATTAAATAAGCCGTTTTTGTTGCAGGGCATCTTTTTGGCGAACATGTGATGCGCCGCGATGCCCACTCTGTCCGCGGCGCCTGAGCAGAGTTCCGGCGGCCGCACCGACCGGCAGAATAGTCACATCGGCGCCATGAGCCCTGAGCAGGAGGCGAGTCCACCACCTGCCGCCCCGGGCGCTTCACCACCTCCACCGCCACCGACGCGACTGCCCACGCCAGTCATGTCTCAAGAGGACGTCAACACATCTGACGTCGAGCAGTTCGCCGGTAAGATTGTCTATAATCCGGATGGTTCAGCGTACATCATTGAGGATTCAGAGAGCGACAGCGAGACCCATGGGCCCAACACCAACGTACCCGAAATCGTGCCTCCTCTTCAGGCTGTGTACGTTTCCAGGCTACTCAGGCAACCTGCCCGTCCCACGGATCTTCCCGCTGTGCACAGTTATCGCGTGATCGCGTTAGGAGATGCTAGACCTCCGAGGCCTACTTCCGTGCCAGTTAAACCGATCCTCATGTGTTTCGTTTGCAAGCTGAGCTTCGGATTCGCGCGGTCTTTCGCGAATCACGCACAATCCGAGCACGGTGTCATCTTGAAGGAAAACGAACGAGAAGTACTAGCGGCAGATTGTTCGGCGATACTGCAATGTGTAGGTGCTGATAAAAGGCCGATGGTATCTCTGCTCGAACCTCTTGGACCGGCTCCTCACGAGAATCACCACTCAAATCAAATGGTTCCTGTTCTTTCTGTACAAAGTCGAAATGAGAATCCTTCGCCTGTTACGGAATCACCTTCTTCGTTTCCTTCGTCTAGAAACGCTCCCGGAAAATCTCCTTCGCCACCATTCGTTGCACCGCCCGCTTTCATGACTGGTACAACGATAGGTGTTTGTCCGGAACACCTTCAAGGTCGACCGTCGGGAGTGGAATGTACTCGTTGTGAAATGATTTTGGCATCTGGTAGATTAGGTCCTGCCGGTCTAGCAAATGTACACAGTAGAAATTCTTGTAAAACGCTTAAATGTCCAAAATGTAACTGGCACTATAAATATCAAGAAACCCTAGAAATTCATATGAAAGAAAAACATCCAGAGGCAGAGACTAGTTGTATTTATTGTATATCTGGCCAACCTCATCCGCGACTAGCTCGTGGAGAAACCTACACCTGCGGTTACAAACCGTATCGTTGCGAAGTGTGCAACTATTCAACGACTACCAAAGGAAACCTTAGTATACACATGCAATCAGATAAACACTTAAATAATATGCAGGAACTTCAAAACGGCGGCGGACCCAATACCGAAAGCAGACAATCGTCGCCTAAAGCTCCACCACTTCATCATTCACCAGTTAGTAGCGGCCATAAACCTAAACCCAGTTTTAGATGTGATGTTTGTAATTACGAAACGAATGTCGCGAGAAATTTGCGGATACACATGACATCCGAAAAGCATACGCATAACATGCTTGTACTCCAACAGAACGTTAAGCACATGCAAACTCTATCAGCGCTGCATCACCAACAACACCCCCAACAACACATGGAGAGTTTGTATGGAATTTATCCGGGACTAGGCGACAAACCTGAGGTAGCCCTAGCAGATATGGCGTACAATCAAGCGTTGCTGATACAAATGATGACTGGTGGTCAATTACCTGGTCACGCCGGACCAACTGACATGACGACACATTCAGATCTCGGACTGAATCCGGACACAATGGAACCTCCTCCTGAACCAGCGGATCCGGATCCCGACAAGACGTATCAATGTTGCGTCTGCAACGTATTCCAAAGTGATAACTTAGAAGAACTCGGAAGACATTTAGCGTTAGATCGAACGCGATTGCGAGAACAAGAAATTCTCGCCGTCATAGCTGGAAATTATGTATGTAAGTTGTGCACATACAAAACCAATCTAAAGGCTAACTTCCAACTACATTGTAAGACTGATAAGCATCTACAGAGACTGCAGCACGTTAACCACGTGAAAGAAGGAGGTCCGAGAAACGAATGGAAGCTGAAATACGCTTCTGCACCTGGGGGAGTTCAAATTCGCTGTAATGCTTGTGATTATTATACGAACTCGGCGCATAAGCTGCAGCTACATGCAGCCGCCGGTAGACACGACGCCGGTGTGGCTTTAATGAAACATCTACTCGAAAGATGTTCGAGTTTTAGTCCTAACCAATCGAAGGTTTATCACTGTTCGTTGTGTGGATTTTCCTGCACTAATAGACTACCTCTTTTACAACATGTAAGATCTCTAAAGCATCTTCATATGGAGCAATTGCATCAGCTTCAAAGACGAGCAGAAGGAAAGGACAACAGCCCGGAAATTGGAGAAGTTTTTCACGTGGTTGCCAGCTCTGCTGAACAGCGACAAACACCTGGTGAGTCAATTATTTTTTTATGCGAATTGAATTAAAATCTAAAAAAATGTTATAATAAATATTTTGGCATATTTTGAATCGACTACAAGAATTTATTGTTTTATTTAAAGTTTATTAATCCACAATGCGAGTGTCTCAAAACCTCTAATCTAATTTCTATGTATTAATAACTTATAAGTTACAAGTTTGGGACACTCTGTATTACATATGGAGGGGCTATTCTGAAAGCATTTATTGTTCAATACGTACTATACCTAATAATACTTTTTTTGAAAAAAAATTAGGGTATAAGTAATTGGCGTATTTTTTGTAATATAGCTCGACACCCGAGGCGTAGCTGCAAGTGTCCTAACATATGCCTGATGCAAGTAATTGCAGGGATTTTTATTAAAAATATTTAACCTATATAATTAGGAATACTTTTTATCGGACGTAAGCCTGCCGAAGAGGCGTGACTACCAGCCTCAGGCCGACGTACACAATAGCATCGGCCAAACAATTGTCTTTATTGTCACAGGGGGCCCGGTGTTTTAAGCTTTACAAAGATACCGTTAATCCCTGTCATTACTGTAACAATACACACCCGAATTTTACCTCTAAAATGTTCTTTTATTCTCCAACAGAGCGAAGAGATAGTATCAATTTGGACCTAAGTCAGATCGAGTCTACTAAAGATCAAGTTAAATCCGAACCCCGTGAGGAAAACGACGAGACGAATAACAGCGAAAGTGGAAACTCGCAGCATATGTGTCCCTTCTGCGACTATAGCTGCGATTCCGAGATGCGAATTCAAGCGCATATTCTCGCCCAACACGGCACAAACAATACTTCAATGACGGAACAACCCTCGATTCACTGCCCTCTGTGTCAGGACGCGTTCAAGGACAGAGTATCCTTGGAGCGTCACGTTATGCAAATCCACTCTGTAAATAGCGAAGGTTTGCAACGATTACTCATGCTCGTCGATCAAAGCCATTGGTTAAATCAGACTTCTCGGACTCCAACGCCCAACAATTCGATTAATCAGTCTCAAACGACACCCAATCAAACAGTTTCACCAAATTCAGTGTCTTCCAAAGAATCCAACAAGTTTGAAAAAACCGACGTTAGCCAAATGGACATCGATTTGCTTTCGCCTAACAGCGACGAAAACACCGAATCGGAATCGGAACGTTGCGGGTCATGTTCGAAAACGTTCCGCAACATTGACGAATTGTGTTATCATCAAAACGAAACTGGCCATTTAGAAATCAAGCAAACGCCTAGCGGGCCCGGATATCTTTGCTGGAAGAAGGGTTGCAATCAATTTTTTCCGACTGCCCATACGCTACAGATGCATTTCAAGGAGGTGCACGCCAAAAATTCGATCGCGAACATGTCGGTATCGGAGAAACACGTGTACAAGTATCGTTGCAATCAATGCTCTCTCGCTTTCAAGACGCTCGAAAAACTCCAGTTGCATTCGCAGTATCACATAATTAGAGATGCAACGAAATGCGTATTGTGCGGACGCAGTTTCAGATCGCTGGTCGCTTTACATAAACATGTCGAGAGCGTGCATTCCGAGCTGACTGACGAAGAACTTAATGCATATAAACAAAGCCTAATGAACAATCCGCTATTACTGGCTGGTTTACAAGGACAAGTTTTAGATAGTTCGACAAATGAAATTCTTAAGAAGGAATCCATGCGCACCGACGATGATTCCGCAGAAATTGATGAGAGCAAGGATCTAAACAGCAGTCAATCATTGGACGAGAGCAATCAGAACGACGGTGAAAATTCAGACGACAGCATCATTTATAAAGATCAACAATTCTTGGAAGATTACCTGAATAGTCAAGCAATCGCCGAGGATAGCTACAACGATCCCAACAGAAAATACAAATGCCATCGATGCAAAGTAGCTTTTACAAGACAAAGCTATTTGACCGCTCATAATAAAACACTCTTGCACAGAAAAGGTGAAAAATTAAGTTACCCCATGGAGAAATACCTAGATCCGAATAGACCGTACAAGTGCGATGTTTGCAAGGAAAGTTTCACTCAGAAGAATATTTTACTAGTTCATTACAATTCCGTAAGTCACTTGCACAAATTAAAGCGAGCCATGCAAGAACAACAAAATAATAATAACAACACACCCGTATCGCCGGTGATGAGCGGTACACAACCGCAAAATTTAACATTAACGCCAAAAAGTACTTCTTCAGAGGAGGACGATAAAAAGAGATATCGGTGCAATATTTGTAAAGTAGCGTACACACAGGGCAGTACGTTGGATATTCATATGAGAAGTGTTTTACATCAAACGAGAGCGAGTAAACTGCAAGATTTGGCGTTGTCCGGTCAAATCGACCTGTCTAAACCACTAATAGAACAACCCGAAGCCATGCAGTCTCCTAAACAAAGTAGTCCGGCGCCAGGTAGTGGGGACAAACAACCCTCTCCCACCCCACCATCGCCGGGTCTCTCAGGTAGTCAGGGGATGATGAGCTGTTCAAAGTGCGGTGCTTTATTCAGTTCGCAAGATCAGTTGAGTGCCCATCAGCAGCTGTACTGTATGTTCGCAACGCCTATGGCGATCTTCCAGGGTACGCATGAACCAAGCCAAGCTAAAAGCCCACCACCCGGTGAATCTCAAGACAGCGGAATGAAATTGAATATGCCGAATAAGAAAACCGGCTCGCACATGTATAAGCACTTGTTGGAAAGCTTCGGATTCGATCTAGTTATGCAATACAACGAAACGCATCAAAGGCGACAACGGCAACAACAACGCGAAGCCGAAGAAAATGCCGCCGCCAGCGAAGTTCATTCGTCACCACCTCCAATCCATGCGGATGTTCACGAGCCGCCCGGAGAGACGGCAACACCAGCCGATTGTAACACCGAATCCAAAGCCGAGGAGGATATCGAAAACATCTTACCCGAAGTAAGTAAATCTACGTGCCAACATTGCAATAAAGAGTTCTCTAGTGTGTGGGTGTTAAAATCACACTGTGAAGAAGTTCATAAAGATTTAGTGCCACTAGAATTCTTAGAAAAATATGCTCAACAGTTCAAAACCGAATACGAAAAGAAAACGGTGGTAGTGACTGCGGCGACCTCCTCGACCCTCAACTCCGTACCGAGAGTGTCCACACCTGGTGCAACTCCGCCCGGCTCGTCCGCAGCGGGTACGAGCAGTCCGAATGACAATTCGACTCCCGAGAAGAACGACGAATCTAAAGATGCATTACATGCGAAATTAAACCTACAAACACCGCCGGAAGCCGCTTCTACTGCTCCGTCGACTCCTACATCGTCTACGACACCGGCTAGTAGTACCGATTCACTACCCGCGAACATTCAAGCTATGATAGCTCAGAGCATGGCTCAGAATCCGGTCGCTTTGGCGCAACAAATGTCCGAAATGCAAGCCGCCTTGAACGTTATGCAATTGCAACAGTTAAATTTCAATCCTATGATGCAAATGATGGGCATGGGGTTACCGTTAGGGCTTAACGCGCTCGCCGCGATGAACTTACAACCGCCTTTAGTGCCGCTGATGATGCCGCCTCCGCCGTTCGATCCTATCTCGCAATTTGGACCTCAGGAATCGCAGAATATGTTAGCTAAACAACAGGCCATGATACAACAACAAGCGGTGAGTTATTTTTTTATTATCTATTTTTATTTTTAAATTATTTATCTATAAACCAATCTAATATAAAATGAAATCGAGGAAACTTTCTAATTTATACAATTATTACTTATTTTTGATGGTATTTTTAAAATTCTTAGTTAATAGATAAATGGTAAGGGTTAATTCCAATCTACTGGTTTTTCCTTAAATTATAATTTTATAGCCTTTGTTCACTTATCGGTATAATTAGCATGACAATAATCCCTCATTCATTTACCTTAAATGCAAACGGATTATAATTACATTTACATTCATTAATTACCTCTATCTATTTCATTTTCTATACATCATCTAATCTCGATATTATAAATTTCTAATTTGGGATATTAAATACCTTTTGTTAAATAAACGGAAAGGCAAATAATTATCTCCATTACAGGTGATTTTCAATTCCATGCAATAAATCATTATTTTTTATTTGTCTTTGAAAATAAATACCAAATTCGTGAGTTTGTTATTACTGTTATATAAGCAAAAAATTCTATTTTCACGCTTTTTCGTATAATAATTTACAGTAATAAATAGGGGGGCACACCTTATAATCATCTTTCTACTAATCAAATGTATAATAATTTCTTTGCTTACACTTATTTCATTTTAACTTTTTTGCTATAATCAGGTTCAAGGTAAAAATTAGTTTTACTGTATCTATGTAATTAATAACGTTTTAGAAAAGCGTTAATTCTATTAATAAAGTATTTTCAATTTATAATCAATAATTCAGGATTTAATCAATATTCAGCATATTAATGTCCTATTTAATAAAACGATGTATTTATGCAAAACAATCATAACTTATGCAAAACACTCGAAATTTAATTATTAAAAATGCTAAATTTTAATTGACACCTTTTGTATTTTCCAACAATTTTTGTCCCACATTCTTAAATCAAATGAAGTGGAAGCCGGAGATAAATTAAATTTACACCTACTCACAAATTTAATACGCCTACTAAGTGTTGAATTAATGATTTTTAATTTATTGATGGAATATTTAAACCTAATTAACATACAATTGATAATTCACTAAAATGTGTGTTTAAAAAACATTTACAAAACTATGCAGTTGCCTCAGAGATGGTTTTTCTAACGTGATAATTTTTTGATATAATTTTATATTTGGATGTTAATTATGCAAGAACTCTTGGTAGTATACTCATAGTTCAATTAATATTATTTGCATTTCATTATGGAAGTGTAACCTTAAGAGGCCATCAATGCGAGTTATCCATTGACCTACTTAACCTTACTCTATATTAAAAATTGGTGAATTGGTTACAATTAAGTCAAACCTAATTTGACCCAAATAATTCGCCATTTTAAATTTATTCTAACGATTATCCTCTTTTAATGTACGAAACAAACTCGCAGGAAATACTGGCTAGAACTAGTGACAAATATTGATCAGGAACATCTATTTCGGTACGAGTAACTCATTTTTAAAGATTTTTTATAAATATTGTATTAGAATTGTTAATTCTGTATCTATACCTACGTGCCGATTTGCTTAAACATCCTTAATTAAACATTTGAAGTGTACATTTTCGTGTTCTTAAAATAACTTGTTTGTAATGTAATGAGGTAAGGTGCTAATTAGTATGATCTTAAATAAACGGCACTAATTCTTTAACAGATTTCACATTTGGCCCTTGGCTGTTAGTTGGTCACCAGTTAATTAACACTTACCATTTCAGTAATCAGCTTGAATAAGTTTTTTCGGTGCTCTACAGTCAATATAAGTAATTATAGAAATATTCGAACGGACTGTCATTAGTTTTGAACGAATTTACGTCTATCCATTGGCGTAGCGAAATTGTTGAATTAACCGAATAAATCAGAAAGTTTCGTCAATAAATTTAATAACAGAAAAAAAATGAAATGTTAACTGTGCCACTGATCAGTTTCCCTTGTCGAATATAATTGTTGTTTTGTAAGATGTAGCCTTGCATTGTGATAATTATCGTAATTGATTTATAGCCAATTTGTAACAATTTATTAAGGCTACACATATTTACGGGCCAGCCATTTAATACGAATAAATCCGTATAATATCAACTGCAGTTTATACAATGTTGAAATCTTCAGACCGGTATTTCTTATTTGTGCAGGTTGTCAGCGCCGCTGCGAACCAGAAACGTGCCAGGACTCGAATTACCGACGACCAACTGAAAATTTTACGGTCGCATTTCGATATTAATAACTCACCGTCAGAGGATCAGATACACGAGATGGCTTCTCAGAGCGGATTGCCTCCCAAAGTCATAAAGCACTGGTTCAGGAATACGTTATTCAAAGAAAGGCAACGTAACAAAGATAGCCCGTACAATTTTAATAACCCTCCATCTACTACGCTTAATTTAGAGGAATACGAAAAAACCGGAGAAGCGAAAGTCATGCCTTTAAATAGCTCTGGTAGCAGCGTCGAAGAACACCGATTAAAGGAATCACCTAAAGTCACTCAACAAGAAATCAAAAGCGAAATAAAAGAAGAAGCTGTGGATGATTATTCGAAATTGAACGAAGAAAAAGCGCAAGAAATGAACGATGAGAAGTCTAATATCTTTAACCTGCCGATTAATTTGCAGCAAGCGCAAAGTCCGGCCACATCTGTCGCCAGTTCCGATAATCAAAGCGTTTCTCAACCTAGTACGCCTAATAATCTAACATTAACGTCGATTATCGCATCCCAATTAGGCGATACTTTAACAACTAGTTCATCGTCTATGAACATGGCCAACTTATCATCCCATCATGGTTTGACAAATCCCATGTTACCGCCTCCCAAAATGAATCAGCAGAATTTCCCAAACCCGAACAACCTTCAGGGTATGCTACCCCTTACTCCCAATCGTTGTCTAAGTCCCAACAGCAATCCTGGAAGTCAAGGCTCTGGAGGTTCAACCGGCAAAAGGGCAAACCGTACTAGATTTACCGATTATCAAATCAAAGTACTACAAGAATTTTTCGAAAATAACGCTTATCCAAAAGACGACGATCTCGAATATCTCTCGAAATTACTGAATCTCAGTCCTAGAGTGATTGTGGTCTGGTTTCAAAATGCTCGACAAAAAGCTCGAAAAGTATACGAAAATCAACCAGCAGTGGAACCAGCTCCAGGCATCGACGAATCCGGAGCAAACAGATTTCAAAGAACGCCCGGCTTGAATTATCAATGCAAGAAATGCCTACTCGTTTTCCAAAGATATTACGAACTGATCAGACATCAAAAGACTCACTGCTTCAAAGAAGAAGACGCGAAACGATCGGCTCAGGCGCAAGCTGCTGCAGCGCAAATCGCGGCTGTTCTGAGCTCAGAAGACTCCAATTCAAGTACAACCGTCGAACAATCTCAACAACACCAAATGGCTCCGCAGACCGGCTTACCTACTCTACCTCAACCAAATCTAACGCAAAGTCCGAACCATCCGACAGCTCCTTCAACTCCTACTCCCAGCCAAGGGAACTATCCGCCTACGTCGCCGTCTCCATCATCGGAATCCAAGGAAAGCACTTTCCAATGCGACAAATGCAACCTCGTTTTTCCCCGTTTCGAACTCTGGAGAGAACATCAGCTTGTTCATTTGATGAATCCGAATCTGTTTCCATCTTATCCGCCCGATTCCCCGTTCGGTATTCTGCAACAGCACGCGCAACTTCAGCAGTTGAACGCCGCCAACCTGGGAGATTCTAGCAAACAACCTAACAGTATCGGAAACATTTCTCAAGCTAACTTGCAACATCCTCTTTTGAACATGCTGAACAACGTAGCTGGCCAGAAACGAAAAGTCGATGAGTTCGATGCTGAAAGCGATACGTCCGATCAACCGAAAGATAAAAGGCTAAGAACCACCATACTACCCGAACAATTGGACTATCTTTATCAAAAATACCAAATCGAAAGTAATCCGTCGAGGAAGATGTTGGAGAATATTGCCAGCGAGGTGGGATTAAAGAAGCGTGTCGTTCAAGTTTGGTTTCAAAACACCAGGGCTCGTGAGAGAAAAGGACAATTCCGGGCCCACGCTCAAGTAATCAACAAAAGATGTCCGTTTTGCCCAGCTTTGTTCAAGGTGAAATCCGCTTTGGAGTCCCACTTAACCACCAAACACGCCGATCAATGTGCCAGAGGCGAGATAAATATCGACGCCTTACCCGATGAAGAAGCAAGCCTCGAATCCGCGCCGAGTTTGAGTTCTGGCAGCGAGAACAAGAACGCGGCACAAAATTCCAACATGGTTCCGCCGCTTTTTCCTTCCCTTCACCCGGACATGGAAAATTCAATAAAGAAATATTACGAAGAAAGCATGAAGCGATACATCAGCGAATTGCAAGCGCACGCATCATCTTCCAACGGCGACAAGAGCGAAATAAAATCCGAAAAGCCTGAGGGAGGTGAGATCCCTTTAGATCTGTCGAAACCGGTTGATTTGTCGAGACCAATGAAGGTATCCATGGAACATGAAAGAAGCATTTGCGACGTCGGTCCATTAACCGATCTGAGCGAACGTTCCTTATGCGATGAAAGAAGTGATTCTATGTCTGAGACGACCGAATATTACGATGACGAAAGCAATCCTACTTCACCTGCTAGTAGCACACAGAGCAACACTCAAAAGCATTTGAATAACAGCGGAAACTCGCAAAATGCTAACAAACGCTACAGAACACAAATGTCATCAGTCCAAATAAAAGTTATGAAAAGTCTTTTCCACGACTACAAGACTCCAACGATGGCAGAATGCGAAAATCTAGGCAGGGAAATCGGTTTACCGAAACGAGTCGTCCAGGTTTGGTTCCAAAACGCCAGAGCTAAAGAAAAGAAAGGCAAACTAGCATTGCAGAAAGCCCTAGGGCAAAACGAAAACGACGCCAATTCGTTGCCTGACGATTGCAAATATTGCAACTTCAAATATTCTCACAAGTATTCCATACAAGACCACATTTTCACCAAATCTCACATAGCCAATGTACGAATGCATCTCGAAAGCCAACACAAAGAGTCCGCTCACGAGGGAGAGTTCACGGTACCTTCCCTACCAGGAGCTTCTGGAGCCGCCATCACGGCCGATTCCACCACTAATCCGCAACAAAACGTCAACAACAACAGTCACTACCAGCTGCTCCAAATGGCGGGCGTCCAAATGGGAAACATGTCCAACAAAACCGAGCAAGAGGAGAGTCCGGAAAACCTGTTCCAGCAATTTTACGCCCTCGGCAACAACGCCAATTACGGAGTGCAGAATCAGTATGTCCACCACGCGATGTTTGGCGCTAATGGTGAGTAAAATGTAATTTCTCTATTCGTTTAGTTCGTAGTTATTTAACGTAGAAAATGTACATTTGAATTGCCTCGTATTTGATCGTTGTCTGTTAGATAATTTTGAAATTGGGCTCGGCGACAATTCGGTTTTGCTCCGTTTGGATTTCTATAACAATCTAATCGTTTTTATACTTTGATGCTTCCATTCGGTTACATAAAACGTTAGTTGCTGCGTCTATTTTATGAATTACGAGACCGCTTTTTTCAATTAAAATACTATCACGTTTTTAGTACTCGCGCTATTGCAATTTTCAATATGTCATCGACATCGTTCTTTTTATCTGAAGGTAATATCTTCGCCGGAGTTTATTAATGGGTTACTTAATTCGATTAACGTTTTTTTATTGGCGATTTATAAAAAAGAATTACCTTGTTTTGTGAAATGCATACTAAACATTTTGTTTAACATACTTCTCGTATCGAGAAAATTTAAAGAGTTTTACCGCTTGCTATTATACAGGATGGGAAAAAGTGGATTATACTTATAATCGTGCCTTTCGTGTGTATTTAATTGTGTTAAATTTTTAGTTAACCCGTTCTATTAAAAAATTCATAGCAAAAGGATCAAAGTAAACATTTACTAGTCGTTAACAAATCTATACGTATCGTATAATTTTCAGTAACAAGAGAAGTCAATAATTAAGAGTAACAATCGCGTCCGTCGTACATAAAAACAACCTACTTAATCTAATAGCATGTTATTTATTTCGTAAAATACCAATTTCCTGGTAGTCTACACGTATTTTCTATCCCTCAGAAATATGAGAAATATGAATTAATTTTTCATTCCCCTTTTGTATTTCTCATATGAATTCGTAAAGCAGGGCGCGTTGGCGTTCAGATCCGGCTAAAGATTTTTCTAATAACCTTAAAAAAATGTTAATTTTCAACAATAAGTATAAATAAGATGCTAGTTACCGCCTAAAACATACCTATGTAGAAATAAAAATTATTTGCTTGATTTTCTCTTTTTAAAGTTTTATTAGTTTGTATATGAATAGATAAATATTTAATCATATTTTATAAATTTTAAAAGAAATAAGTTAAATTTATTTTTTCGTCATAAAAATGCTTACCTGTGAGCTACTTTGTTCAAAAAAATTTGAATACCTGAAGGACGGTCGAGCCGTCGATACAATCGCCTCGGTTGTCAATAATAAATGACGTAAAATCCCCAGCCATCACGCCCTGTATATATTTCGTGACTCCCCAATTCCTAACTTCAAGATAACACTAAACTTCTGACGGCGTTATCGCCTAAACTTCTTCATTTGTCATGCGGAGCATATAGTGCCCGACATAATTAGCGAGATTTCTTGGAGGGTTATCCTCTATTATTTTCGGGGTTGTAATTGGATTTCCGGGCATATTTTTATGGCGTTTTTACGGGTTCTGGATATACCATTAACCTTGTTTGTTGCATAATATATTGTAATGCAACATAAAAAATAATTCATACACTGCTCTAAAGAAATACGACTATATCGTTTGCATATACAAATAGATTCGAGTGGTGTACGATTTCATTAGCCGGTGGAGTTTTTAAAATTACAGTTGGGGGATCAATGTTATTGTGAGTCATCGGTTCCTATTAGTCGAAACAGTTTCCTCCATTTTTTATGTGGACGTATTTAACCGTGTCCCCAGAGCGCAGGGTAAAAAACAGCACATGCGACTTTCTCAATGTATCAGCGAGACACACGTCGTATACATACACACACACACAACGAATATTAGCGATGGATTTCGCCTTTTGTTCATTTAAATTTATTGCCCATCGGAAATACGAGCCCAGAACCAATCATGCTGATCGATTCACCGAGGACCATAAATTATATTTCAATAATTAACATAAAACGACAATGGCTGGCAGTTGTCTGGAGCTCATTTGACTCATACATAATTAAAATTATGATATAAGACTGATGGTCTGATTTGAATTTATCTTGTTTTATTGACGTAAACAAGCTATATTGCGAGTTTCTCATTGGACATGGTGATCCCGGCCGAAATATTCATGAGGTTTGTACAAACGCTTGAAGAATTATCATAAATATTCCATCTATGCTACCTTAGTTCACGGCTTTACGATTTCCTAAAAAGGCATACTAAAAAGATTCCTTTCAATAATAGAAATTATTTATTTATAATGTTTACTCTTAAGGAATAACGTTTTTAATGAACCAGCTTGAATAGAGATTTAATAGATTATAAGCAATTTTCAAACACCCATTGGAATTTATAGATGACTAGAGGAAAGAACAAACGCTAACTCGTATACTCTATACACGGTATAACTTCAACTTAGCAATAAAAAACTTCCGTACATATACAGCGGTTATACCGATACAAGAAAGTCAATGTGTATGTGTGTATGTGAATGTGTAGAGAAACTAAAGAGAAAAGAGCAACGTAACCGTCTGTTAGTTATAACGAAGAGAGACGTGCTGATACTGGGCGGGACTTGAGATTCATTCTACTTTTGCAATAAGACAAACAAGACTTCGTTTCTATAGCTACCGTCTTACGCGCTTTCATTGGCGGATCCACTTACTTACGGTCGATTATAAACTTATATACATCACCGTTACCGAGTTTTTACAGACACCAGTCGCTTTGTATGCCACAATGTTGGTATCCGAGAAGCGTTCTCATTCGTTGTTTTGCTCATCTATTTTTCCGTTTCATCCGCATATGTAATCACTTGTCTATAACTTTATTTCAAACCTAACTCTAAACATTCTAACTCTCAGTTTAAATTTACTTATTCTAAAAAAAACTAAAAGCCACTCCAAACCTAATCAAATTGGCGTTTGTTTATTAACAATTTCGTGAATAATTTTATTTGTCGGTCATCGCAAATGTCGTACTTCCTGTGTGTGACATATTCCGCATTAAGCAAATTTACACACGAAAAAGAAAACACTTTTATAAAAGGTGTTTGTCGAGACGCGTCGAAAATAACGTGGAATACCTGACAAAAATTCAATAAAGAAAATTAAATAAATACGCCGAAAATTCTCGGAACTAACCTTGAAACGAATCTTTTCGTCAAGGGGATACGAAATACTACAAAAATTTGAAACTAAAATATCCTGTGTTTTGTGAAACCGTGTCAAACAATGCAGCTGTTTATATTATCGGTAATGATAAGTAATCTCAGGTAGAGAGAAAAAAATTGTAAAAGGGACTTTCTGGGTATGTTAACAGTGAATTTCTGTGAAGTAACACCTGGCCAAAGAAAAGAGATTAAAGTATACAATGAACAATGCCAAGAACGGCAAATGATATTTGAAAAGAATAGATTTTAGCCTATTTTTGAGCACAACCTTTTTTTAAGGTTGGTGATGAATTACTCACATTACAAATTTCAAAATGGAACAAACTGGAAACTGAATAAAGAAAACTGCACTAAATAAACATTTATGAACAATTTTAGTTAGGCAATGCAAGAATTTTCAATATAATTGGGCCAGATAATACACAATGAGTTTCCCTTCTTCATCCCTGCATATAACATTTTCATACGTCTCTCAATATTTATTTATATTTTGTAAATATTTATTTTTATACTTTTTCTAAATTAGTTTTTTACGAAACCAATTTTGAAAAAAGTATTCTGAATGAGCCCGTGTCAAAATCAATAAACCACTTTCAAGATGTCAGAATATTTTTTTCAAAATTCGTAATTTATTTATTTTATTTTAAGTTTTTATGATTTTTTCTTTATTTTTTTGAATTTTATTTCAGGCTAATTTTTTTCTAAATTTTGTGTTCCGGGCGAGATGCGAAGTTATCGGACGGGACAGGAATGAGTATGAAAGGGAAACGAATCTGTGTATTAAAGAAGAAAGAGACTTATTAGTTCCATGCCGAAAATATTGTGATATTAATTTGAATTAAAAAAAAATGTTCAAATGTTTGTAAATATTCTATACAGTTAATTGTAAGTTCCTAATAGGCCTATAAGTTGCTTCCTATAAGTTATAAAATTTTAAATTAATTTAATTACTTGTATTAAATTATATTTAATAAAAACGATTTATTAAAAAAAACATCATGTGACGTGTTTGCTTGGAAAACCCATTTTCGAAATTTACGACGACCGAAAAATTTCTTTGGCATATAGAATATTGTTTAATACGTAAACGTGAAAGGTAAGTGCTTTTGTAACAATTTAACTACCATTTATTTAATTTACACGATCACGAATACAAGATTTCTAACTTCAAATTTATCAAGAATTTTCATGATACTCGTTTATCAGAATTAATTCAAATCGCTACTAAATTGCAAATACAATTCATTGAATTTAATTTTATCATAACTTACATATTTCTAATTTCTATACGATTTTAAAGAAAAATTTTTCATTAAAAGATTAATGCGATGCAGAAATTTTTAATCATGTATTTGGAAGAGATCTTACCAGCAAAAGAAAGTGAGTATAATAAATTACTTACCTGACGTTACAACAATTAATTATGTATTGACACTGATATAATTCACAAAACGAGTTTTAACACCTTTATAAAGGTTCAATAACTCGATTCGAGTTTTTACCATTTGAATATTCCTTTGATTATTTATTTATATAAAATTGCGAAAAAATTATGTCCAAAAAATTCTATAAGGTGACGTGTTTGGGCAATAATCGTAAAATTTGATTTTTTCATGTTAATTCTTGACATTAATCCAGATAAGCACACTTCAATATAAGTATAGTCTTCTTGTAAATTTTGTCTAATTCTAACAGACGAGGTATCTATTAAAACAACTTAATGATGATAATTTTTTAGATTTTTAGACGTTTAAAATTCATTAGATATGTTAGGAATTTTTATGATATTATCATTGTAATTTGTTTTATTGGCAATTGAGAAGTCAATATTTAAAGATTTATCGTTTAAAAATTATAATATTGTGCATAAGTTTTGTACATCCTGGTGCATTCTGA